GAAGTTTTTAAATATTTTGTAGCAATTGAAATAATTTAAAATGAAATCTTTAACTTTTATTGGTTGCCACACTGGCCCCTAATTTATTTTATGGATTACTGGTACACAAAAAATAACAAACTAAACAAAAATGTTTACAAGCCACTTTCACTTAAGTTTCTTTTTCTATTATTTGCATTCAAGATACTCAGTACATTACTTGGTAGAGAAATAGATTTTAAAATTAACAATAGTTTTGAATTATTCGCAGTCACGTGACAAGGCTGACCGACACGATATCTCTCGCCACTTTGTTACGGCGGTCATGTGACTTGGTCGCCGGACACATAGTGCGGGAGATAGACGTCCGGCGCGCCGGACGTGTAGACACTGCCTTTGTCTAAAGGGACCTGGGTCCCTACAGACGCAGCATTATAAAATAGTGTCTAAAGGGACCAGGGTCCGAATAGCTGCAGCCTTTATTAAACTTTATTTAAAGCTAGATTACTAGTAATAGTAAGTACTAATTTACTAGATACATCCCATCAAATGACTAAAATTAAAATGATTAACTTCAAGTCAAGTTTATCTTTGAAGACAGAAAAGTTCTCTTATCTTTACTCCAATTGCACAGTGAATGAAAGTGGTGCAAATAAATTATCAACTTACATTTTAGCCCATTTACTAAGAAATAAATGTGGCTTATTTTGGGTTAGCGGTAAGGGCAGCGATGTGTTTCAAGTTATTATAGGCCTGGGCTGACAAGTGTTCACGGAGGTTTACCGCGGGTCAACTTCCTGCTATAAGCGCGTATTCGAAAAAATTCGTTTTTATGTTGTGTTCACTTAATATTTAATGCAAAACTTTGTATTTCTCATTTTCAACTTTTGAAAGTTTGCGAGGGTTTCTGGGGAGAGTCTCTTTGTTTCTTATTTGGTATTTAAAGTGAGTGAAGTGGTTATGGAGGTGTCTTCCCCAGTCCCCAGAAGATAACATTGTTTCTTATTTTTATATTGAAATTGGGAAGTATTGTACTCAAATTACAAAAGATCATTGAGACTCCTTTCAAGAGCACTTAACATTATCAAGAATAACACTTTAAACTTAATAATCAACGATGCTGTGCTAAAATTGATAATACATAATTGTCATAATGAAAAATATACTTTCTGTATTTATTACTTGTGCCTAAAAGTACTTTATATAATATATTTTATATATATAATATATNATATATATATATACACACACACACACACACACATATATATATATATATATATATATATATATATATATATATATATAATTAAGTTTATTTGAAAAACACGCTTCATCCCCAAAAGCTCGAAGCGCGTTACAAAATCAACCACATTAAAAAGAGAAATAAAAACAATCTAAAATTTACCACATTTAAAAAAACAGACGCAACAATATAAAGTTACATACGAGCATACCCAGTCAAAGTCTTTCATCCCCTTTCAACCAAAGCAACACAAGCCAATATAGGGCCTACATTAACTGAAAAAAAATATTTATTTTTTTTTTAGGTATTTTTATATAGCGCTTAATAGCAATTATTAAAAATATGTAAACTAAGTAAAATAACAATGAGACACTCAGATAGTAACTATAACTACTATACTCTATACTATAGAAACAATTAAAATGGCTATAAAACGAGGACACTTTTGGCACGTTTTGGCCTATACTACAGGATCAACCAGAGACAGAAAATATCAATTTCTGCAATCATTAAAATTTAAACTACCGCATAAATGAATGATATATAAGAACTAGGTCTGTTAAACTTGAATTCATAAACAGGACAATTAATTATTATCTTTTATGCATAGAATGAAACAACACCTAAATACAATTATGTTCATACAAACCTTCATTCGCAATTTTTATAATTATTTTTATTTATATTATTTTAATATTCTAATGACCCACCCGCTTTTACACCTCAAATTTATTCCACCAGCTATTTCATAAAAAAGACAAAAGAAAATATTACAAAACCAAACAAACTTATGATTTTTAAATAATATATTTTTTAAAGAATCGCATTTATCGCAGTTATCGGGAATTGTATTTCATGAAATCATATTCCCTTCATCTTCCCCTCCCCAGGAAAAACTGATTTTAGGGGGTTGGGGTTAGGGTGTGGGGATAAAAATCGGTTTATAAGAATCATTCCCCTTTAAGAAGTATCCAACTTGTGGTTAACACTTATAATATTAATTTTGACATGCGCCGATAAATTCGTGGATTAAAATTGGGAAACGTGCTGACATTTAGGATTTTTAAAAAATAAATTCATAAAATAATAACAACATAACAAATTGGTAAATTGCCGAAATCTTTCAATAGGCTATTTATTAACAATATGTCAAGCATGATGCATGAGTCTTCTAGAAGCGTGAGGCCATGGGCCAGTGCCCAGTGGGCCCACGCCTTAAGACGGCATTGATCTAGGGTACGAACGAAATCGCATCGTCATAGAATGTTCAACGCGGAATACCGGAGACGTTCAGGCATTTAAGCAGGTACCTAGGTTCCACTTTTGAAACGGACCAGGCTGTGCAATTGCTGCGTCCTTCAACCCCCACACCAACATTAACTTACCTACTACATTTTCTGTGCAGTGCTAAGGACGACCACTGGCCATGTAGAGAACCTTTAGAATGAACCGACATCACTTTAAAGATCACATTTTTAGCTTCTGATTGTATGCCATTAAGTTCTTTTGATAACTAACAGCAAGACACATTGGACTAGCAAGACGGGGCCGTGCTGCTTTAAATTAAAGTCAGTAAACATTTATTTATATCATTTGTTGCACGAGTTCTCAATCCCTTCTTATCTTCCAAAACTGATCTCTTAACACGTATCCTTAAAAAACCTGCGCTCTTCAACACAGTCCTTACTGAAAGAGTTACCGGTGTCGATGTACGGTACACAGAAAGAAGTCACACGTAGCGCTGTTTCGAAGCTATTGCGCTCAAACTGTGGAACAGTTTGCTTCTGTCTTTGAGGAAATTTGAAAATGATAAAAAATCAATTAATAAAAAAGTAATTAATTTTTTCTTTAAAAAAGATTTTAGGACATCAGAGCGCTGTGAGCATGCTTAAATAGCATGGAGACAAGCGCTATAAAGTTATTCAATCGTTAATGAAACGTTACTTTCTTTAATTTGAATATTTCAATAGCGTGCAACTTTAAGTGAAAACTCATTTACACGTCCTAGTAAAATGGGCCACTATGCATCTTTGTACCTAACTCAAAACATTCATTTGTAAATTAGGTAAATACATGCATGTGCTATAAAAGTGAATGCATAAATTTGTCAAACAAGTGAATATATGTATTTGAAATATAAGGGAACACCTATATTTGTCAAGCAAGTGAATACATGGTTTTTTTTTTTTAAATACGTAAATACATATTAGTCAAATAAGTGAACACATGTATTTGAAATATAAGTGAGTACATAATAATATACGTGTCGAAAAAGTGAATATATGATTTTGAATGAAAAGTGAATACATGTCTTTGAAACATAAGTGAGTGCATGTATTTGTCAAACAAGTCAACACGTGTATTTGAAAAATAAGTGAATGCATATAATTGTCAAATAAGTGAATAAATGCATCCAAAAGATGAGTTAATACGTGTGTTTGGAGGATAGGTGAATAAACGTATTTGAAAAATAAGTGAATACATGCACTTGAAAGATACGTGAATGCACGTATTTGAAAGATAAGTGAATACATGTGCAAGTGAATAGAATTGACGACTTAAAAAGAACGATAATGCTAGGCGAATTCATATTTATTTCGAAGTTGCGTAAGACTTGTGTAAAATAACGGGGACCACATTCGAAGATTCACTATTTCCTACCACACTTGCATGTTTAAAGTTCAGATGATTCACTTTTGCAGTTTCTTCTTCATGATACTGTTCAGGCTGATCTCCAAATATGATCACTTTGTTATCGTAAACTACTGCGCCATGTAAAATCTGCTGCGATTTCCAAAGTTGTGCCAGAAATTGAAAGCTTTGTATTCCTTGTTCGCTTCTTAAAATTTGCCACAAATTTCCGTTAGGCTGCAAGATGTAACTATTCTCATCATGTCTGAAACTGATCAATGTTTAGCCGGCCCTTCAAGGCTGTCAAGTCTCATCCAAGTATTGTAGACCAAGTCCCAACATTGAACCGCTGTTTCTTCCACACCATCTTTTGTCTCAGTGGAAAAAACCAACATGTTTCTGTCGACGATTATTGCATATTCAAACGTTCCAGTTTCCGGAACGCTTGAAACATTGTTCCGGTTGCTCAACGAATCTCTAGGATTTATCATTGAAATGTGTCCCTGTTCACTATTTATGGCGTAAATTACATCTTCATGAACGAGGAGAAAGGACTTGCGACCAGGTAACTCGGTAATAAAGGTCCAAGATTTATCTCTAAATAGAAGCAGTTTGCTTGTTTCTTCATATCGATCGAAACTACAACAGTATAGATCATTATCAAAAACAACTAAATGGAGGATTTGAGTGTCCGAATCACATGGCGCCGTTAAATTGAACAGTCTCTCCTCGAAAATGGAGAGAGCTTTGCACGTTCTATCAGTGTTCATTTGAACTCCGTAGTGATCGAAATCGCTGCATTTTCTGTGCAGGGCAGCAGTCGGCCATTGCCCGTGCATGTAACGTGTGTGGTAAAGTATAGCGTTAAATAGTATATCTTTAGCACAGTTATTACTCTGTATGAATGGGTGTTTGTACAGACTATGGAGCAATGAAACACTCGCTAGGCAAGTTCTAGTAACAGCGAGTAGTTTGGGCAATTTCTCTAGTCTCTCTCTGAGGAGATTACCTCCAGAATCATTTGACCAGTCCGGATTTTTTGGGTCTGTCCCACTGCCATCTTGAAATGTTGAGGAGTTTTGCTTGGTGTCGGTTTGACCTTGAGAAACGAGTTCGCCTTCTAAAGCCTCAAACGCACTCTCTTTCGCTATCTCGACAGGTCGTACAGCAGTACTTGCATTTAAAGATGTGTCTTCATGTGATCTGCTTTGCTCCTTCTCCAGATCCCCAACTTGTTGGTCGTCTTTTATACCATCGTTATGATTATTACCACAACCATTTGACCCTGATACCGATCGACTTTCTTTGGTCGATATTTGTGTCACGGCATTGATTTGTGCAGCATATTTGTCACTTGTTATTCGAATGTTGGCTTTCGTTGAAGCGTCCAACTCAGATTTCTCAATTTTGGGTTGTCCAACCCATTCCATTAAAGATTCGAGAACAAGGTCTTCAGATTTCACGACGAGATCCCGATCTTCCACTACACGAAGCAGGTCAATAAATGACAGGTTTAAAAATGTTTTCGTTTTTCGAACGTTCTCGAAATTTTCAAGCATGAATTTTCGGGCACCTTCCAAAACTGTTTCTGACTGAATGAGTTTGGCGTGGAAGAAAACCTCCTCGAAGTTCTCCAAGGTCAACCAGCTGACGACACTTTTCTCGCATAACTTAATCAAAAACTGTATTTGAAGCTGGTTTGAGGCATGCCAAATGTCAATGACATTGTCTTTGGTCAGCACGTTGATCCCAGTGTACAGGGCCTTAAGGATGAGTTGAAATGCCTCGACTGAAATACCTTGTACAGAAGCGCGTCCTTCGTCGACTTCCTTCATCCCTGACCGGAAGAGTCCGCCAAAGAATTCAGAGCATGAGCCAAGAATAACACGATGGCATTTAAATTCGGTGCCGTCAATGTCAACCACAAAGTCTTCGAGTTCTTTGTTCACGTAGAGTTTGTTCAAAGAATTCATTACGCCATGTGCGATATCAATATCGATTTCCATAATTGATGATTCACTTTATAATCTTTCTTGCGATTATCTTTATATTAACGATGAAACAGCAAGACAACGTTCGATGTTGAAGTATAAGCTTGTATAACTTCTTGGTAGAGCAAGTTAAATTGATTCTTTGATATAAACATGTACACCGCTCACTGAGTTTTAAAAAATCTTTACAGAGGCAATCAAATGAATACTAATATGTAGGTGTTCAATGTCTTAAACGTAAACTTTTCCTCTTACACATAGCAAATCTTTTAAATACAACTGTGCTGATATTTCCGTTCCTTCACCTACAGAAGTTAGCGCGTAGTAACGGCAGTGGTGGTTTCAAAGTACAATTACCAGGAAACACGCGTCATCAAAGGAACTGAAACCGTTTATGGGGAAAACGAAACTGAAAGCTACTCGATGTTTGCAAGCGGTGTGTATAAGGGCTACCACACCTTGGGAAATGTCCAATGATCTTGGGAATTCACGACCCCCATTTGGGATCTAGGGAATAATTTTGAAAAAAATTGCAAAACCTTGGGAAATCTTACAGGGGAAGATTTTTTGTTACATATTTCCAACAATTCGAACAATATATGTGATACAAATTCAACTGAAAATAAAGCAAAATAATTTCTAAAGTAACAAGGAAAAAAATTAATTGTTTTAATTCTTTTCTGCATAACTAATGGGTTTACTTTTTAAAAACACCCATAAAAAAAAGTAATCTTCTGAAATTAAAGTTAATATTGTGAAGCATTAAAAAGATAATAATTTATTGAATTTTTAGTTTGTTTACAATGAAGATTTACAAATGACATCCATGTGTTGAATGTTGATCAAATGGGAGTCGCTTAGGCACTTCCTTGTTTGGTCACGTGATGTGAGTAAGCCATCACTAGGCTGCTACACACAACAAAAGATACTTCATCAGTGCTTCCCCAATGTCATGTTACTTAAAAATTTTACCTTTCGAAATATTCTGGAATACATGCGTTTTTTAAATGAAAT